ATCCAGTCACATCTCTGCCTCCAGAATGCTAGGATTAAAGGTGTAAGTGTCACCATTTTCTGGTCCCTGTATCTAGTGGCTATTCTGTTCTCTGACCCCAGATGAGTTTATTAGGGTCCACAATGTTTTGGGGAACACAAATTCTCCACACTACAGAGCATAAAAGACTATGGAACGCTTGGCTCTAAATATGACATTTACATGACATCTAATTCTACAATGTCTCAGTCTTAGTTGTGGAAATGATGGATCAAAGGTTTATGATAATTAAAAAGAAATAGTATCTACTGGGCACAAGAAGGAAGTTGCATAGATGAATTCAAATGCAGATGTGACAGCATGCACAAGAACAGTACATGTGCATGCTAGACCAAATCCTAGCATCCATTGAGGCCACATTCATGAAGTCCCACCATTAGTCAAGGGGCTATAAGCAAATGATAGCTGTTGGGAGAGTCAGTTTCAAAAGAGTTGTGACAAGTAATTTGACCATGCTCCAGTGAGAGGCTACACATTCTCGAATATATGTGCATCACAAATTGAACTTCATGGACAAAAGAGATAACACCTGGTTTAGGTAGGTCCAGGAGGATTTGAGTAAGGGGGTGTATATGATTAAAACCCATTGGTTGAAATTGTCAAAAAATAATGCAAATCAAGTATTAAGAAATATTGATCTAGATGGCAAATGTCCTATGACTATGTGTTCTGCATTTTCTAAAATGTAATTCTAAGAATTAATATAACATGTACTGTATATGGTATGAATGGAAGTAAGGAGGAACATTCCAGAATAACCTGGGCTCTGTTTCTGCCTACACTACAAATGCCATATAGTTTAGCTGTATGTTCCTACGGCTTCAGTGTATAAAATCCAGGATGGGCTGTCTTTCATCTTCCATGAAGCACTGTGCAGAAGGAAAGTATTGATACAATGCCATTGTCATTTTACAAAATTCCTTGACTGATAGACTCTAATAACTAGAAACATCAATTTGTATCTCTTATACCTTACTTGTAAGTAATTCTATTTCATGTGACTTGTGCCTAAGTTTTCAATCTCATCACCCCTATGGCACTGGCAGAAAAATGGCAGGACACATTGTAAAGGTCCTGTGTTAAGTGTCTTAATCTGAGATTCATATCAGTGTTCATTGAATCTCCTGTGGAACTAGTATATCTACAACACCACTGAACCAACATTAACTTCTCCCAAAGGAAAAAAAGTGAAGTCAAGGCCATTCCATCACAGATATTATTTCTAAAGTTAGTAATGTTCCCCTTGCTTCCTACCTTTACCAGGCCAGATCATCCATCTTCTGAACTATAGAGAGGAATTATAACTTCACTGTTATTTAGAAGGGAGTCAAATTTCCCCTTCTCTTTACTTACAGGGGACTCAAGTGAAGACATAAGGGATTGAGAGTCCCCATGGATCCCATGGTGCCAGTGGATAATTTCTGATTTTGCTGAGTTTGAGAGTCAGAGAAGAGAAGTGACTGGGCAAACTTTACAGAGCTGTGAGGCAGCTGACAGAGCACATGACCCCAAGAGGTTTGTTTAACTACAGTTTTACATAAAAAAAGAGGAATAATTTATTCACTAGTTTTGGAGTCTCATTCTGTGCAGGAAGAACAATTTCTGGATGAGTTTACTATGTAATGGGAAGAGGAGGGGGGGTTGTCAATGATGCTGTCTGTCTTCCTCCTATGTAAAGTCCTTTCAGGTTGGTCAGTGACCAGCATCCACTTTGTCCTTAGTTCTGAGTGTCAGTGTCATAGGAGGCCTTCATATGGTTTGCTTAGAGGCTGGCACTCTGTCCTTGGATTTCAAGTTGTGATGAGACAATAGGAATACTGTGGAGAGATCTATGTGATTGAGATATCAGGAGGGCTGCTCCATCTCTGCTCTACCCAACTCATCCCAACCTCATCCATTATGAGTCTTTCCTGACCACTTTCTATATCTGTATATACATACGATGTCCTGGTGTGTCTGGCCAAGCAAGGTCAGAACTATTTGGGATGCTCCCATTAAACTTCATCTGTTTTTATTTAAAAAGTTTTTAATTGATATAAAATTATATCCCTTCTCTCTCCCTTGCATCTTTCTAGCACTTCCCAGGTATCCTTACTCCAATTTTCCCATATAACCCACCATTCTTAAGTTGATATTCTCTTTTTCTTTGATTATTATATTTGTTTCTGTTGTATGTGTCTATATATTGATATATTGTAGTGATATATATCACTACACACACACACACACACACACACACATATATATATATATGCTCAGTATAGTATTTTAATACACACCACATATGTGTATCTATAAATCTGGAATAAACACACATATGTACAAATATACATATACATGAACAATTATAGGCAAGTGTCTCTGGACACAGTAGGGCAGACACATATATGAACTGCACAAGAGGTTGTGACTGCATTTCCATGACCAGTGCAGGCTCAAGTTAGAGAAAATCTTAACATGGGGACTGGAGATGAACATGAAGTCCCACCCCTAGCCAAGGTAGTATAGACAATTGGTAATTATTCAGAGAAGAGTCAGTGTTAGGAATGTTGTTACTAGTAAATTAACTATGGCAGAATGCACAGATCCAAGGATATATTTACATTTTGCTATTGGCAGAAACCTGCAGGACCCTATATGTAAATCATGTGTTCAGATTCTCCATCTGAGATTGACACCAGTGCTCAGCTAAGCTGCTTTGCAACTTCTACTTCTACAACACCTTGAACTAGACATTGAATTCTCTTGTAGAGAAAAATGGAAGTCAAGGCTATTTTGTCAGAAGTAGTATTTTTATATAAAATCCTCCCTTCTGCTCACTTGTTTCCTTCTTCAGTCCCCATCACCTCCTCTCCAGGAGGAACAGAGCTAGAAAGAGAACTTCATTGATCCTGAGAAGGGAGTAAAATTTACTCTCCTTTTCACTCACCAAGGTCTCAGGTATAGAAATTAGAGATGAATAGTCATTAAATTTCCCATACTGCTCTAAATAACATCTAATGTTGAAGAGTTCAAGAATCAGAGAGGGGAGATGATGATGATAAGAATACAGAGCAAGATGGAGTTGAAATAGAAATAAACTAAAGAGCTTTGGGTCTCTTAGCTTCCACAATAGAAGAGGAATCAATTACTCACCCTTTGTGGAGTCTACTTCTGTGCATGAAGTGCAATTTCTTGTTGAGTTAACTAGAGAAGGGGACAGGAGAGGGAGAAAGTTCATCAGAGGCTGTCTGCCTTCCCCTTAAGGAATGTTTTTAATTTGGACAATGACCACCACCCACTCCACCTCTTAGTGCTGAGCCTGTAGAGTTATAGGATGACATTTAGTGGATTGCTTCTAGGTGTTGGCTCTCTCATCTGATTTCAAGTTTTGAATGATTCATAGGACTGCTGTGGGAAGATCTATGTGAGCAAGAAGTCGGGAGGGCTGCTCCATCTCTGCTCTGCCCAAACTGATATGAACCTCATCCCTAATATGTCTGTCCTGACACATTACAATATCTACCTCTATTCATAGATATCCCAGTATGGATGCATATAAGTCGTATAAGACGTGTTCAGGCAGCTGTCTGTCTGTTACTTTGTAATCTGCTCCCAAGTCCCAAATTCCATGATTTTTTTAAAAAAGGTTTTCAGTTGAAATATAAATCTTTCTTTGTCCCATCCCTTTCCTCTCTCCAGTCCCTCCCAGCAACCATTCCTCCAAGCTTTCTCATATCCCCACACCACTCTTAATTTGATAGCCTCTTTTTCATTGAAAATTATTGTTACATATATGGCTAAAGCTATGCATATTCACACATATATGTACACATGACATATGTGCACACACACACACATATATATGCATACATGTACATATATACACATCACATATGCATACACACATATATAAATGTAACATACACACACATATATATGTTTAATCCCACACACATGACATTAGAACTCACAGCAGTCCTTTGTAGCTCCCAATGCTACTTTCTCTCTATCATCTATTGGAGGATTCTGAAACATGGCTTCAGTATTTCATCAGTCACAAGATATGAGGTATATATGAATTTTTCTTACCTGTGACAAGAATGTACAAGGGGTCAGTTGGGGTTGACCACAGATGGGAAGAGTTCCTGAAAGAGCCATAGCATCTATAGTTCCCTGCCTGGACCACAGGACCAAGAAGGAAGTTGGCCTGGAATGTCCCATTGTTGTTCTGCACTGAAGGCAGCTCATGTCCCTCAGGCACCCCTTCCCTGGACAGATGGAACATGTCAAACTGAAGGTCAGAGAAACAGGTCAAGGTCATGTTCTCTCCTGACATCACCCCAGGACCCATCAGGGCTGACAGAGTAGGTATCTTGTATAAACCTGAAGAAAAGAGGCAGCGATAGTTAGTTATCAGTGTTCATTCATCCTCAGTGTTCCCTCTGCTTGCGTCTATTTCTTTGATCTCTCTCTGCCTCTTACCATCTCCTCCTCTCTATGTCTCCATCTCTCCTCTCCTCTCTTTCTCTCATACTCTCAATTTTTATGTTACCATCTTTAGTCTATGACCTCACTGGTACTCAAATATTTTATGCCAACTTTTGCTCATTGACATTTTCTGCCTCTATTGGCATTGGGTCATTCTATCTTTTAAAGTATGTTTTTATGAGCATAATTAATTTTATCTAGCAATAACCTTCATAATGAAATATTCATATGCATGCATAATATATTTTTATGCTTGTTTTGAAAAT